CTACGGGGTGGCCCAGTGCCCGTTCACAGTACTGTGGCAGTTCTCAGCTGTATGGTGAACAGCAGCTCACCCGCCTGCCAAGACTGGAAATGCATTTTCTTGATTTTGCCGTTTCTTTGATGACGCTATAAACCAAGGCAGCTTAAAGTCTCACCAGACTGCTGCACTGGTAGACCCAGAGGCTGCACTCTTCGTTCCTGGCATCTGTGGTCTTCAGCGCCAGGAAGCTCTTCCCCGCCCCCAGGCCGTCGTCGTAGCACACCATGCGCATGATTAAGTACAGGGCATGTCGGTGTACCACGTCCTGCAGAAATGGGTGGAAAGTCGGGCTAGGTTAGATGCACCTCCGTTCTTAGCGCACTGTCCTGTGGGCTCTCTGCATGCTCACATGCGGCAGCAAAGAGTAGCAGGTTTTCACTTTTCACCCGTAGGGACATCCGGTATGCTCAGTGAAGGACGCCACCCTCCTCTAAGATCTGAAAACAGGACCGAGGTGAGCTACACTCTCCCCTCTCTACACCCAGCTTCCAAGGTGGCAGCTGCTGCACGGGAAACACTGGGAGCCATCAGCAGGGACATTCCACAGGAGAGACACAGGGAGCCCCGTTCACCCTAAGAAATGTTTCCATTCCATTACAAACCCACCACTGCAAGCAGGAGCCAACCTAACTCCAAATGGGTCCCTACAGGCATGGATTCCCAAAGGCTGGGACGCAGTTTCTCCTTAATCACATACTTACATACTGATCTGATGTGGACACCTTTATACCATACTTGGAAACTCCCATAATAAATTCTTCCTCCAGAGGAACAAAAGGCAGCTTTCCATCTTGCTTTTGAAGTAAAAATACATTACATGATACCAGGTTAAAAGTCATGCTAGAGTAGAAGTCTGAGCAGTCACTTTCAGAGAGCCACCTTATGAAGAAGGTCAGGTGCACAACAGCCCAACAAGAATTTTTCTGAAGGAAATTCCCTCTTGCCCTAAGTTTTTTTTTTTATTTCCTTTTTTCTTTGCGGCCCTTAAATTGGGAGCAAAATTCAGACCTATTTACTTCATGCGGATTCTTCCATCCTCGTCCCCTGGGATTAGCCCAAATTGTTTCCAGGTATTTTGTATTGTTCCTGGTAGCACTGCAGTTCTCAGCCACAGCAGCATCTCTAACCTAGCTCAACGTGACCCCTCACAGAAACCTCCCCCTCTCTTCACTGGTCTGCTGGTGCCACAGCCAATCGGGGGCTTGGGGGTGGGGTGGGGGGGGCGCGTGGGCTCCTTTTATACATCATCATTTCTTTCTGCCCCAAAAGTTTATTAACACGGGATTCCTTTGCTCTCTGTCTCTCTGATTTTCTTCACCTTCTCGTGTGCCTCTTCCTCTCTCTAGCTCTCTTTCTTACTTTCGGCTCTTCTCTCCTATCTTCCAATCTCCCCTCACCCTGCCCCCTTTACTCTCATTCCAACACCCAACCAAGTCGTTAACTCTAATAAAACCTGTTCATTGAAACCCACGCTCTGAGTCCGCTTTCCTTTTATTCCCGTTTGGACACTGGTGACGCTGCAAGTCTTAGAAACGCTCCAGTGTATAGGAGTGGCAGCACAGGCCCTCTCCCCAGGCCTCAGGCTTGTCTGCTGCTCCCCGGGCCACAGGGCCACCAAGAAACACTGCTAACCAGCTACTCCGCTCTCAAAACCCCTCATCTTCAGATACAAGGAAAGAAACAGGTAGTGGCTGCTGGCTTCCCTGGCAGATGACCTATAAAAAACTGCCTAACAGGTCCTTTCGTAAGGTCTTTCTGGCAGTCAGTAAATGTCCCATTTGATAAAGGTTTTGTGGAACCATGTGCCTACACTTCAAACATTCAGTGAACTGTGCCTGTACTTCCAGCAACCTCTTGTCAGTCGTTTCTCAGAGTCCCTTTAAAGCCATCCTAAGAACCAGAAAGAGGGCGATAGCAGCGCTTCGTGAAGACAGATGCTCTGTGGTCAGTGATGGGACTTTAACCGTCACCACGCTATGTGGTGACAGGGAAATTGAGCAGCTCTTCGAATGAGCAGTAATGGACGTGTACTTTGGGGGAAAAGCATTCTTTACGGCCTTTCGGCATGATTCTGTGGCTTATAGAATGACTTACATTCAGAACTAAACTACGGTATACTACTAGACTCATTTCCCTCTGAATTAACTCTCTTCTTTGGTGAGGGAAGAAAACACATTTAATGAACCTAAGAGGCCTCGCATTCTCAACAGAAATTAAGCTCTGTGGACAGGTGAAGGAATCTCCGCATGGCAGTAATAGCCCTTTGTTGATACTATGCAGTGTCTTCTAGAAACGTGGGAAACGACTGACGAATTGTCCAGCACACCTTTTTGTCGGACTGGCACGTGCTCGGCCACCAGAATCAACTCCGCATTAAACCGGGAGCTCAGACAACGCCCTTGAAATCTAAACAGGTGCTGTCTATGACAGAAGGAACAGAGGGTCCCGGCATCCCGAGACAAACCAATCTCCAGGCCCCTATACCACCCACCACCACAGTGCTCTCAGCCTGGGGCCGTGCACGCAGTGGACCTGGAGGAGTACACCCTCCCTCCTATCCAGTGGCTCTGAACTGAGTTTTTGTCTGTCTTACCTGGGCAACGTCTATGTAATTGATCAGGTCTAGTGGTCCTTCCAGACGTTTTCCCTCAGTCAGCTTCAGCTTCTCGATGGCCCCAACATACTTGATTCGAAATTCTGCACAGGTATCTGAGTGACTGTTGCTTTGTCCTAAAGTTGAAGAAACTGTAATAGTAAGACTTCAAAGGAGACATTTGCATTGGGGTCCCCTCCCCAGGCTCATCTCCAATAAAGAGATAGTATCAGTACAGCTTAGACTTCAGTAACAATCAGAAAAATACAAACTTTTGAAGTAATGGGAAAGACCCTAAATTTCCACCCACCTTTTCCATAAGTGAGTCACAATATGTTAAATGTAAATGTATACACACTCAGTAGGGATCAATTAGGCACTCTTGCCCTTCATTTCAGAACAGAGAGGAAGACAATGTCCCTTCAACACCTCCTGAGGCCTAGGGTTTCTCCTCCCTCTTGACCATGTTAGCTTTCAATGTCTCCCTAATTCAGGAAGCCTGGTTTTCTTCTACTGTTCGTTCAGAAAGAAACAAATACTAAATGTGTATAAGTACATATATGGAATGTGCCGGATGAAGGCCCTCGACAGCCCCAGGTTGCAGAACAGCATGCGTCCTGTCACCTTCAGCCACTACCGAAATGACCACAGTGCGTCCACGCCGCCTCCTGTACGAGGGGCTGTTAGGTGATTAAACGATGTGTGATCCCAGGGTGCCCACGACTTTACTACCTGAGAGGCATCTGGCTGTAAAGACCTGATATTACAAAGCACTGTCTTTCACGTCGTTGGCGTCTACTTTCTTTTAATGGATTGAGTCTAGTTCATAAAGGTAGAAAGGATTTTACATGCAAAATATAGTGTCTTTCCAATTAGTCCCCCGCTATTTATGATGCTTGGGTTAGGAGTGGGTTCTTGGATCTCCAGAGAGCTATTAACTGTAGGTCCCATCCAGGGTCATGAAGAGTAACCACAGCAATAGGGTTTTGATAGGCATACGGACGTTTAAAAATCTACAATTCAAAACTTAAAAAAAAATGTGAGAGTGTGCTATCCATCTAGGAATTATTTATGGAGAATAGTGTGTCTTGTTGATTAAAAGGATTTACCCAAAGATACACCAAGATGCACTAGCTGAATTGCAGTAGGAGCACACAGGTAAGGAAGGCTAGCTAAATTCTTTCCACAACGTCACACCTTCAGTCTCAGGCCCACTGACAGAAGTTGGTCCACGTGCTCTCGCCGCCCCCACACCCCCATCACCAACTACTCAGCACCCTCAGCCCACCCTCCTCCAGACTTCTGTGTCCACAAACGCTGATCAGAAAGGAGGGAGAGGAAGAAACCCCCAAACAATTCACTGTGCTCCACAGAGAAGTCTGCATGAACAGAAGTTAAAAGCCCTGGGCGCTACATGAGTCCCGAGGCACGTACCTGAGCTTCGAGTGGAATCTGTATCGAGGCTGGCCACAGTGCTGGATCGCGACAGACCTCCCAGGCTGGAGTCTACAGACTGAGAAAAAAGCCCACTGCGAGAAGACCAGCCAGTGTCCAAAGCCCTCCACCAACACACCCAGGCCATTTGTTCTGACCTATTGACACACGGAGAACACTAACTACGTCAAGGCTGACTCATCAGAATGACGCCTCGGCTATTCCCGCTGATGGGTCAAAACAAAAAAACACCACAGCAACCTTCAAAAGGTATGTAACCCCAACTTCTCTTCTTATAATATTGGATCATTTTTTAATTACGTAAATCAAAATCAACATCATTCTACCTCTTTATAAGACACCTTGAACATAAATCTGTACCTCACTTTCACATTATGTCCACTTAACATACAAGAACCCTCTGCAGAAAACTGGGCGAGGAGTATCGTCCTAGTGTATGAAGTGAATGAACAGGCCCAGAGAGGCTGAGTGGTTTATCCAAGGTCACACGTAGCACATGGCGCAGCTCTCAGTGTCTGCACACATTCTCACCCAGTGTGTGGCACACACGTCCTGCCTGCCCGCTACCCACAGGCCATGGGACTGCCCAGGAGAAGTCAATAAAGCTGTCAACGTACTTGATCCACGCGTGGTGTGCTTCCTTTTTTCAGAAAAACATTCAGTGAAATTTTTTCATTAAATAGTCATTTGTGACAAATCAAAATTAAAAGTTAAAAATATGCCCAATTTAAAAAAAAAAAAGTCTTTGGAGTGAATTGAATGTGACCACAAGACCGTATCACGATTAGTAAAATCCATAGCGACGGTAACTGGGTGAACAGTTCCTTAGGGTGATGGGACGGGAGGCTGGAGGAATGGGGAGCGAAGAATAATGGATACAAGAATGAAGACTATGTTCTAACACTGTGGTGACGGCTGCATGACTCTAATATATCCAAGTTACCAAACTATGGTACCTAAATGATACGTCAAAAAACTTTCAAAAGGTCAAGTCTAAAATATGTGTACTCTGCGTGTCTGAGCACCGTCGGAAAGGCGGGCAGCGGGAGGGGTGGGGGAGAAAAACGAGTGTTGCAAATTCAACTCGCATTTGGGATGATTACAACTCTTGAAGTCAGTACCCAGCCAGCACCCGTTTCTGGATTTCAAACTACCCCCCTTTATACGTAATGCCATTACCTAGAAGAAGAGAGAAACTGACCTATTTTCCCCATGTTCAGGATATAGAAACAAAAAAGCAATATGAAACATATCTAATAATCAGGCATAACTTTGCTTTAAAAGCTGTACACAGCAGCTCCCCCTCATGATAGTGTGTGCCCCTCGGCTGCAGATAAGCACCCCCCTCTGCACCTCTCTGCCCTTCTCACCTGCATCCTGGGCACCGGCCACATCAGAGAGCCATTAAGCTCGCTCCTTGTAGGAGTCAGAAAGCGGGCATTGGTCCTGGCTCTGCCAGAAGCAAGTCATGTTTCTGAGCTGGAGTGTGGGTGCCTGCATGTGTGAGTTGTGAAGCCAGCTCACACTCTCATTGAAGGACGGCCGCGAGTTTCCCCTCCAGGACTGGACAGGATTACCGAAGGTCAAGTCACCGTGCTCTCAGCTGGAAGTCTATCGAGTCCGTGATCGATCGCTCTGGCCATCCGGCCCGACTGAAACCCTGGATGGCAGTCCTGAATCTGCATCCCACAGCGTGGGCCTTGTGGTAATCTCTTGGGGGACACAAGCAGGGTCGGGGAGGCCAGGAAGGGGCCGCGGGTGCGAAATTAAGAAGGCCATCACTGTCCAGCTCACACTTGCAGGACCCTGACCCTGAGGCCTTCCAGCCTGAGCCTCAGGCCCTTCTCTCACCTCTCGCTAGTCCTGGCCCTGCAGACACAGTCTTTCCTAAAGCTGGTCCACAGGGTGGACGATGACGGAGAAGGGTCTTCAGCAGTGAGAATGTAGGGACCACTGGGTGAGGAGATCGCTGAAGTCCCTGCAGAATCACATACTCTTACTTCTCTAGGGTGCTGATCAGGGGATTTGCCTCACTGTCCAAGGGACACACCAGACTCAGTAAAGATGGTCCTCTTGCCTGACAGGGAACATCTAAGTTTCATAAGGGCAGGTATTTTTTTCCCTTTCTTTTTAGCTGCTCTGGCCTCTGCACCTAAATCAGAATTTGACATGTGGTAGTTCGCAATAGAGGAGCCCTAAAGGTGCAACAATTAATTTGGAGCTGTTAACCAAAAGGTTGGCAGTTCAAGCCCACCACAAGTCCCATGGGGGAGAAGACCTGGCGCTCGGCTCCCATAAAGACTGCAGCCTAGGAAATCCAGCAGGCCTGTTCTGCAACATCACGGTGTGTCGGAACGGGCTTGATGGCACCCAGTCACCACAGCAGCACAATATGAATGGTCCTTCCAAACACCCAACAAAATATAAGGCAGCTATGAACCTTACCCTCTGATACCAAAGTGGCCCATGGACTAGAGCTTCAAAGTTCTGTTTTGCTTTGAATGTTTACTGTCAGAAAACATTCAGAGTGTCTCAGAGTATCTCTGGAATACCAGCAGCCGCCAAACTCACAGTTAAGGAAATGGAATTACAGTTAGACACAGCCCCAAAGAATTCACAAGGCCAAGCTCCTTCACTGTCTGAAAGTTTAAAAATCAGTGTTGGCTGCAATAAAGTAATTCATAGGTTATATCCATTCTAGTGTAGTATTCAAGGATTTCAGAACATTTATTTTCTTAATCTTCCCCCCAGAACATTTATTAAAACAAAATAAAATGAAGCCGAGTACAGACAGTGCCTGCGACACAGAGACGGCTGGCGCCCGGCTGAGAAGGAACATGCTCGGCTGCACGTCCGTTAGAAGAAATCAAGGCCTCACCGCGTTAGGAGGCCGTCCGCCCGCCCCACGTCATCGCCCTACCTTGCTCTTAGTACTGATCTCACTACTTTGGGAACTGCTACTACTGTGCCGTTTTTTGCCTTTCCGAAACATTTTTCACCATAGCTTGATCCAAAGAGGCACCCTGGGAAAACAAATATTGGTTAGTTATCTCTAGAAGAGCCACTTCCAGTCACCTGATGAGTAGACACGGATGAAGCCCTGTGCACCCCCGAGGTGCATGAGTACGTTCCTTTTACTTAGAACGCTTTTCCCTTGACCACAGAGTCTGGATACTAGTCTTTCTTCATTACAAAAAGGTGAGACCGAGAAACCAAAGGGGCAGGAAGCTGTATTACCTAGACGTATGAAAAAGCCTTTCTCTCAGAGGTGATTCATCTGTATCAAAATTCTCTTTTAAATCAAGTCAATATTCTAGCAAAACAAGTGATACAACTGTCAGTCTGTCGTTCCCCCCTCCACCCCTGCCTCCAAACACTACTGGGTAACGTCACTCTCAGTTTCACATTCTGGAAGCTAAACACAGAAATGTGCTTGTATTTAAAGCCCTGAGATGCCCTCAAACATCCCCGTGATGGCTCATCTCCCCACTGTGGGGATGCCACGCTTCCCAGTCAATTTCATGTATTTTGGTGAAATTTTAATATTAATGCTTTGAAACATTCATAAACTTTACCTTTGTCTATTTCATAAGAACCAATATAACAATTTTACTTCAAAACTGTTATTAACTGCACGGTAGTTCATCGTTCATCGTTCAAAGTACTTCCAAATATCCTCTTACAGTGACCCGGTGACATATTCATCTAACCCACAGATAATTTGTAAGGCTCCACCCAAGAGGCCTAATGGAGTAGTAGGCTACAAACTGAGCTGCTAACTACAAGGTCAGCAGTTCAAACCCACTAGTAGTTCCTGGGGAGAAAAATGAGGCTCTTTGCTCCCACAAAGGGTTACCACCTCAGTAACCCCAAGGGGCAGTTCGATGCTTCCTACAGGGTCACCATGCGTGAGAAGCAACTGAATGGCAGTGGGGTTGGCTTAGTGTGACCCTGGGTCATCTGCTGTAGTGGGCGTTCTAAGCCCGTACTCTCAACCGGCTGACGGAAGGTTGAGTATATATTCTGCATTTTGTACATTTTGGGGACTGCCACCCAACTTTCAAGAGGCTTAACGAACAAGAGAATCTAACCAGATTTTCCCAAACCTTAATTATCCATCGGGAACAAGGAAATCGACTTACTATGGTTTGGAACTGTGCTATTTTACTGTCTTCGGAAGCTTCTCAGCCAGCAGTCTATGTGGATAGCGCCCTTTCATTTGACATGGTCAATTCTGTTGATGAAAGAACACGAGCAAGTCAATCAGGAAGGACTCAGTGGCTGTCACTGTCCTAATTAACAGATTCTGCCATTGGAGGGGGTGAGGAATGCAATTTATGAGTTGAAATAAAATGCATATGAACAGTACAATGTCAAACTGCTCTGTACACCTTCACTTAATTCACAATTGTTTTTTTAAAAGATCTCTGCTGTTGTGTTTAAAAACCCTAGCTTAAGTCCATGGCACGATGCGCTGCCAATCACACGGTCAGCAGAACATACCCACCACCCACCCTGCAGGGAGAGACGCGGCTGTCTGCGCCATGAAGATGTGCAGTCTCAGAAACCCCATCTAGGGTCCTGACCACAGTGGGTTTCGTTGGTCTTCTCTAAGCCCGAGTTTGACTTGTAAACCTAGGTTCTTGTATCAGCCTCGTCATCCAGCTTATGTCTACACTTTTACGTTATTCACGGAGTAGCAGGCGTCTGATTCACTCATCCCTGAGGAACCCATGAGCACTGATGAGATGCTGGGCACACCACGGATCAGTGAGAAATTACAAAGCTCCTGGCCTCGTGGGGCTTGAATTTTAAACAGAAGGAACAGACCAGCAAGTAAAACAAATATAAAACATATGAGTAAATCAGAAAGCATTTTATTAAACAAAAATATCATAATGAGAAGCTGTTTCTTGCTATCCCTTCCTGCATCTCACTCACTGCCGTAGTCGAGGCTGACTCCAGTGACCCTGTAGAACTGCTCTTCGGGGTTTTGAGCCTGTCATCAGGAGAGCAGGCAGGTCAATCTCTCATGGAGTAGCTGGGGGGCTGAACTGCTGACCTTCTGCTTAGCAGTCACCTGCACCACGAGGGCTCCTCCAAACCAGTCATTGCTATCAAGTTGATCCAAACTCATGACACCCTCTAGGCCAGGCTGGAACTGCCCCTGTGGGTTTCCAAGACTGTAACTTTTTACTGGAACAGAAAGCCTGGTCTTTCTCCCACGGTGGCTTTGAACATGTGGTTAGTAGCCCACTTCATTACCACTGCACCGCTGGGCCTCCTCACCTGGGTCTGTACACTTTTGAAAACTGTGTTTCCATCTCTTTACCTTTCCCAGAGAGTGCTGCACTCTTAGATCGACACCACTTCAAAACAGCAGCTTGGGCATCCTCAAGGGGCTCAAACTGCACTCCTTCTAAACGTCCTTTGAGTCTGGGAAACAAAGAAGCCTGGAGGGCAAGAGTACAGCCGAGGGACGAACAGGGTAGTTTCCCACTGAGACCCTCGCAACTTCTTGGAAGGGGCAGCCGTGTTGTCATGGCGGAGAATAAATTATTTGATGCAACTTTGCTGGCCTTTTCCTCACCAATGCAGCTTTCTATTTTCTTAAAACTGTCCTTTGAGAGAATCTATGAAGATTACCCCTTGTGGATCCCAAAAAACAATCGTCATACATTCTGAGCTGACCTCTCTGCCTTGACTTCAAAGGGTCCAGCAGATCCCCTCAGAAGCTTCTGTGTTGACTGAACTTTTTGAGGGCACCCTCAGGAAGTTATGACAAGGGTAACACTGAGAGAAATGGTCTGTAGCCATCCACTGTTTGCTGACTGCGAGAGACGTGATTAAACAGACTTTGTTTGAAATACAGCCAGACAGCAATGTGTCTTTACTTACCCTTTGTGTAAAGACACAATGGCTGCAATGGGGAAAAAAAAAACCCTAAAGCAAACTAAGGTGATAGCGTGATTAAAGAAAGGAGTGAGATCATAAGACTATTTAAAAATAAATACAAATTAAAAACTAATGGACGGGATGAGTATTTGTGAGAAAGCGACACTGAAGAAGTGCGAGTGAAGGAGACCGAATGACGTGAGGGCAGCCAACAGCAGATGTGCAGGGAAACCAAGGGAGCATGCTCAATGCGAGGGACAGTGGAAGGCCATGTGGCCTGAGCGTGAGTAGAGGGAGAATGGCAGCAGCAGGGCCAGGCCCCAGAAGATCTTGCAGCCACGACACAAGTCTGGGTTTCCCGGAAGATTGCTGAATGCTTTTCAGCAGTCAAATGAAAGGATGGGATTTCTGTTTTTACAAGATGACTCTGCTTGTGGGTGGAGACCTAATGTCATAGAATAGGAAGAGAAAGACGAGGGCTAGTGCAGAAAAAAGTGAGCCTGAGCACGGCGGGACATTTCACCATAAAAGAGAGAAGGCAGGGGAGCCTGCTCCAACCTTGCCCCAAATAGGGTAACAGAGCAGTGCAAAATACCTTGTTAGTAGTCTCTAAGGGTTACAATGTTGGCTTAACATACTTAAGCACACTATGGAACTATCACATATAGCCATTTTAAATATGATTTAAAAATAAAAGTTGTAGACCCCTGAAAATGTCTGGAATACTAGAATGATTCTAAAACTCCGACTCTGTAACATACTGCCTTTCTAACTCCCTAAGGCATTTTCATCAGCGCAGCTTAGGAAAAAGAGGGGGGAAAGCACTTGTTCAAGTCTGATGTCTGCCACATTTTGATGCAACTGCTTAAGCAATGCACTCTCGTCTCTCAATCACTGGCTCATCACGGTGAGGCCGATAGCTGCTCACCTCACTGATGCTCCGCTGGCCTGTTAATGCAACCACATCTACAGCTCACTCGCCGTTGCCCTCCAGAGATGCCTCTCCTAGATGCTCACTGACAGGGAGTGACTGAGAGTCAGCCAGACCCCTCCCTGTCCTTCCGTCTCCATGTCCAGTCAGGCAGCAAGATCACTGTACATGCCATTGAGGCCCAACGGATCACTAACGGGGCCCCACCCCAGGCCTTCATCATCAGACTCTGTTCTTTATAACTTACTCCCACCTCCCACCCCCCGACTTTTAAGTGCCTGATGAAAGTCATAAAGCACCCAACCCATAAAAATGCACACATGTGCAAAGGTTCACATATACAATTTAGGAAACCCACAAACCCTCTGAAGAAACATCGTGGGTAAGGGACCTTGTTTTAACTAAACTTCTCTCATCACTACCACGGCCTAAGAGTTGATCCCAACTTGCGTAGACCTTGTAAGAACAGAGTAAAATTGCTCTATAGGACAGCACACAACTGACTTTCTCTCGAGTGGCAAGTCTGAACCACCAACCTTGCAATTAGCAGCAGCCCAGTGCTTGACCTGCTATGCAACCAGGGTTCCTAACGAGACTCCTGAAAGAAAAAAAAGAACAAAAAAACTAACGGACTCGCTGCCATCCAATTGATTGCATGTCATAACAAGCCGATAGAAGAGGGTATAACTTTCCCTGTGGGCTTCCGAGACTGTTAACTGTTTACAGGACCAGAACGCTGCGTCGGTCTCCCTCGGAACAGCTGGTAGTTTAGAACTGCTGACCTTGCAGTTAGCAGCCCAACTTGTAACTACTATGCCTATTAGACTCCAAGCCACTTTTCAATCTACCACACACTACCAAATGATTTAAAGCACAAATTTGACGTCACTAGTCTGTTTAAAATCTTCAATGGCTCCCCAAAGTTTGGCTAAAGGCAAAGCTCTTCACAAAGCAGTGCGTTACAGGGCCCTCTACCCTGCCAGCCACATCTTCTGCAATAACTTGCTCCCAACGTTCATCTCTAAAGAGTGCAAGCTGCTTGCAATTCTCAGTACACACAATACTCCAAGATGCCAGGTTTTGCTCCTACTATTCCCTCTACCCAGAATGCCCTTCCTTCCATAGTTCATCTACCTGGCTAACTATACATCTGTCAAGACCCATTTCAGGCTGCTTTTCTTGAAGAAAGTCTTCTTTGGACCACCAGGTTGAGCTAGCGGATCTCTCCACCACTGCTTTATAACCTGCTCCTGTTTGCTAATGAAAGGAGCCCAGGTGGCACAGCGGTTAAGCACTCACTTGCTAACAAATCTCCGTGGTATTTGTGCCCACCAGCAGCTGTCAGGAGAACAGACCTGACCATCTGCTCCCACACATCAGCCTTGGAAACCCTTTGGGGAAGTTCCACAATGCCGGGTAGGGTAGGATGCGCTGGGATCCAGAGTGGCACACAGCAACAATGCTGTCCACTTCGAACAGCTCACTCTCTGTTCTCTCCTCAAAGGCAGGGGCTACTTATTCAACTGCGGATCGCCAATGCCCAGCGCAGGCTGACAGCGCACCAATAGGAGGGCTTTCTTGGGAGGTGACAGTCAACCATATGGCAATCTTCATGTCCTGAACACCTGTAACCGCCCTTGGGCCCTACACGTTGCTAGTGGATGTAATTATCAACCACTCGCTCTTGGTCAGCAAGATGGTTCGTCTTTCAACGGCGGGAGAAGCCACAGCTCCACGAGATGCAATGACAATGACTTGACCAAGGTCCCCTGGCTTACACGACGTGGCTCCGTTTTGAACCCAGATAGACTTGGCTCCGAAGCTCTCTGCAGACCCCACGGTTGGGCGCGCCCGCCACCTGCTGAAGACCGCAAACCAGACCGAGTGGCTGGCTCCGCAGCGGGAGGGGTGGGGGGCCGAAGAGGTGCGCGGAGTTCAAAAGCGAG